ATCTGTACTGGTCATGCCAGGCCAACACACCTCCTCAGAGTGAGATTTGTGGCGTTCTATCTGTTCTCTGTCAATAAAACCTCCCCTAATTTCTCAAACCAATGGAATCGGGCCACAACAGGCGAATTACTTGTGATATGATACAGTCATGTCCATATCTTGTATGACCGGCCGACTTTTAGACACGTCATCATGCTCGTGTGACATGAGTCGAAGCAATGCGGCTAGTGACTGGCTTATCCCTCTCGATGGCGTTCCACAAACTACTAAAAATCTTTACGCGAATTTACCTCCCGCTACACATCCTAAAGGCGCTTTATTTACATGAAGACGATGTGACATTCAGCTTGTGGTTGCATGTGATTGCATGTGTTTTTATACAGATAAACCTTGCAATTGGACCGAATTTCTAACTGAACACTTTGCCTCACTTCCTCCATCTGCTCCATTGACCTTAAGATAACCTCGTACCCACTGTTTCTGTAATCATGTGCAGAAAGTACCTACTGTGTATTTTTTCGTGCCCATTTAAGTCTATGCTCTGGAACATTTGCTGGTCCTGAGCCGCAACATAGCACACATAATGCACATCAGCGTCATGGGTTGTATTCTCCCTTTCCTCTTTCACTTCAAAACAGCTTGAACATTAAGATGACGAGTGAAAGTGGACAATTTCAGGCCTGCCACATTTTACATGTCGCTTTAACTCTGAACGACGAACATTAGATAACAGGTGGATTCTGAATAAAAAACACGTCCAAGCCAGTTTTTGATTGGTTCATTGATTGATCATGTTATCAGATGGGCCGATTTGATTGGTGGATCGGGTTATCCAATCACTCATTGATTGGCGAAATGGACTGATCCCGATCAGCTGTAATGAGGGCAATGAAGGAGCTGCGAGCATGTGAACTGGAGGCTGTCCTTAATGTCAATCAAATTTATAAAGCCACTTTAGTATTCTTAAACCTTTTAAGGTAAATGGACAAACGTTTTAAGTTCGTTTCTTTAGATTACACCTTGAAGGCTTGCAAAATCCACAACTCATTTCAGTAGCATCAGAATAAATTTAAGTGATTTAAATAGGTTGCTAAGGTCATAAAATGCATTCAAAAACGCCTAGTTTACGGTAGAACACACTGCACCAGGATAATTTTACCACCCATTATTTTATTATTTGCTACCTGGATTCGTTATATGTAGCTTTGTAGGCGGCTCAACCATAACAAAAAAAGGAAGAAGTGACATCAGCAACTCAATCGGAAACAATAGCTTACCTTATTTCACTTTTACGGCATCGTTAATACAAGGTCCTACCGCTGCTATCTGCGTGGAAGTGCCAATTACAAAGGGTTTTGCGGGATAGTCTGTCTATAAACCTTCGTCGGATGAGAAGAAAACTTTCTGCCACGTGGTACTTCACCTCTTGATAGACACTCCCACACACGCACACACATAAATAATAATAGAGAGGGGCTACTAGCGGGGTGTTCCGAAAACCTGGTTCTCATTCGCCTGTAAACAGCCTGGCACCGATTTACTGACCGGTGCCCGTGATAAATGTGAGCGTGTGACTAAAGCAGGTTTCTGGCATGATTGTCATACCACTAGAAAAAATCCACCTCCCCCACTCACTCAAAGCACACTGTCTATTAAGGAGGGTTGATTGGGTTTTTGAAAATGTGCGTGGATGGCTTTAAATTTGCATAAATGTGCTTTTTTTGCTCTGTTAGGGGTACTTAAATCAACGTGGGGCTTTGTTTGTTGACTTATTCATTTGTTTATCGATTGATTTTGGCGCTGAGGTCTGTGATTGGCTGCGTTTATCCCCTTTTCAGCCCACTAAAACAAAACTTGCTCATATTTAAAAATAATATATATAGAGTGGTGGCTTTTCCTTGCTTTACTTCAAAATTTCTCTTGAAAGTATTTAAAATAAGAAACGTTATTATTAAATGTGAAAATTTGATAAAGATTGGCACCACGAGTCTTTCCTGAAACCAAAAGCAGGCAGATTATTTATTGCCAACGTAAAAAGAAGGGCTAAGGGGGCTGCTGGCATGACTAGGAGGCCATGCCACCCAGCAAAAGTACAATGGCCAAGGTTTAAGTGCCTGCGAGGCCAAGACAAAGGTTTTGACACACAATCCAAGTGTTATATGGCCCCCTCTCCTGTGGAACTTCTTCTTGGCGGTCCTCCTGCTCAATCTTGGCAGCCGTCACCCCAACAGCAGTGACTCCTCTTGGTAAGCTTACTGATTATAGAGGCTAATCCTGTTTGAAACTGCATTTGGGGAAAGATGAATGTCCTGCCCATCTCGTATATACATCGGTAGCCTTAAACTCGAGTCGTTTAATAAAGAATTGGGGTTAAATGGATACGTGAAATTAGGCTGCTCGTCTATTTCTTCTAGCCACTTTGTTCTTCATTACTGTCAATCCATATCTTTCCAAGCTCTATGCAACTAGTAGAGAGGTGAAGGAGGTATCGTGCATTTACTTCGTTGACATCCTCCTACAGGGCCCATAGGCAGCTCCGTAACGAACACTTTAGGTGGTTCGTGGTTGGTGTAGCTTTAGTCATCAATAGCATTCCCGCAGACCTCGGAACTAAGGTAGTTGCCGAAGGCAGACGTTATTTTTCGCCTTCTGTTAGGGGTCGTCACACATTCTCTGTTCGCAATGTATAACCTTCTCCCATTAAGTTAGGCTTTAGCATTCGGTGATGGAAATAAGGACAGATGTCCTTCACTATCCAGTTTGCCTTCCACTGCCACCAGTGCGGTGACCTAGGCCTTTTTTCTGGTCGAACGAGGTTCACAATTCTAGGACAGCAAATGCACCGACAACGTACAAAAAGTTTGAGGGGGTTTGGGTATGACTCGAAGGTCGTATTGCCCAGCAGAAATCCAATGGAGGAGCCTTAAGTGACCAAGACATCAAAACAAAGAGTTACGCAAACGGAGTATTGCACCAAAATGTATGAAGTTAATCCAGGGGGAATATTTGATTTCGAGACCATGTTGTACTAGTGGAAAGAAACTAATCTCTCTAAAGTGCTCCTTCAAAACTTGAATTGCCTAGGAATCTAATCCGATTAACCTCAATAGGTGTTCTTGTGCCGCATCATTACAAAATCTGTGTAGAAGGTGACCTAAATTTCATGATTTTAATGTCAAATAGTTTTAGGTAACTTAAAATAGGATTAGAATGTAATCGCCTCACAAATAGTTGAACGCTGTAATTAGTAAACAATATTTCGCGATTTATGCAGAGCAGAATAATGTCAAATTGCTTTATCCAACACCGCTTCTAGGTGTGCGCTATTTCTATGGAAATTGTGATGAGGAAAAATAGTACTTTAGTTGAAAAGATCTTTGTGTTCATTTATTCAGCTGAAATTCAACCTGTTTTTTAGTCATACAAATGTCAGATGATAGACATTCTGTTGAGTTTTACAACTACAGATGATGTCAAGATTTATGCTATCGTTACACCAACTGATCAGTAATGGCTAAAAGGTGATTCTTAAGAAATGACAAATCGAATACCCAGTTTGAAACTTCGTCAGAATTTAACAAACCTTAAATGGGGCAATAAAGCGAAACATGCGACATTTTGAATTTAAAAGGACGGAGATTGTCAAAATTGAGTTTATAGTTGAATTTCAATGTGGGTCGCCCTTGGTTCGCATACTCTCAGTTTCTGCATTGCTTTCATTGTCACCCATACGAATTAACCCATCGCGCCTGCCAGTGTGTGATTGGACAACCCACCCCACCAATCAAAGCTGTCTCTCCGATGACGCACCAATCAGAAACCGACTTGAACGGAGTCTTTCCAATACCCATTTATTACCTATCGTTTATTATCCAGAGTTGAGGTGCTTCATTAAATTTGGAAGACTTGAAATTTCCAACCTGCTTTTGTCAATTCAAGGAACAAACACTCTAAATTAAATGACAAAAATGGGAAAACAGCCTGAGACAAATATTCCACCTTCTATATTGCGGGTGCTATGTTGGTGTGTGAAAAAAAGTACGGGGAAACGGGCAAGGACACGGACATTAACATGGGCACAGAAAAGTACTTCCTGCTCGTGACGATAAATCCCGGATACAAGATTATCTTGGGGTAAATATGGGTAGATGAAGGAAGTGAAGCAAAGTGCTTTGTTAGATATTTGCCTTAGTAGGGAAGTTTAACGACTTGAAACCACACGCAACCCCATGAAAGCACGAGCATCTACATGCAAACACATGCAGCTGCGTGAAACCACATGTAATTACAATCGGTATTCCGCATTGTCTTCGTACACATGAAGCATCTTTCTACCAAGTTGAATGTGATTAAGTCGCGCAGAGGTGTTGAGTGATTATTGAATTGGTATTGGGGCAGACGAAGTGATTATTGTCCACAGTGTGTTGATTAATGTGATGCGGAATTGATGACATGGTTAGAAGAGGGTTGAGCACATATGATATGGCTAAAAATGTGTGGTAGTCCTAGGCAATGCACAGGTCATGGCCACAACCAATACAATATTAATTCAAATGACTGGCTGATTTGTTTGAATTGGCACCGAATAAAGTACGATTTGCGAGCTGCTGCAGTAAGAGCACCATTCTTTGGTACGTTGCGGGGTTTGTGTATTGACAAGAACAATCAGCGAACGCTTCGCCTGTCATCTTAAGCAGCACTGATTACTTTGAATCTGCTTTAACTTCACAATGAACAGTCCATTTGTGAAGATGCCTCAATTTCGATGAGATCCCCAATGTGTTTGGAGCGAGTAGGTGGATGAGTGGGGAAGGAGGTGAATAGATGAGGAGGTGAATGGATGGAAGGATAGATCAAACCTAAAAACTGTTTTTCCACCATCATTTCAAACCCACTATGAGAATGTGCAGACTTGTGATATGATACAGTCATGTCCATATCTTGTATGACCGGCCGACTTTTAGACACGTCATCATGCTCGTGTGACATGAGTCGAAGCAATGCGGCTAGTGACTGGCTTATCCCTCTCGATGGCGTTCCACAAACTACTAAAAATCTTTACGCGAATTTACCTCCCGCTACACATCCTAAAGGCGCTTTATTTACATGAAGACGATGTGACATTCAGCTTGTGGTTGCATGTGATTGCATGTGTTTTTATACAGATAAACCTTGCAATTGGACCGAATTTCTAACTGAACACTTTGCCTCACTTCCTCCATCTGCTCCATTGACCTTAAGATAACCTCGTACCCACTGTTTCTGTAATCATGTGCAGAAAGTACCTACTGTGTATTTTTTCGTGCCCATTTAAGTCTATGCTCTGGAACATTTGCTGGTCCTGAGCCGCAACATAGCACACATAATGCACATCAGCGTCATGGGTTGTATTCTCCCTTTCCTCTTTCACTTCAAAACAGCTTGAACATTAAGATGACGAGTGAAAGTGGACAATTTCAGGCCTGCCACATTTTACATGTCGCTTTAACTCTGAACGACGAACATTAGATAACAGGTGGATTCTGAATAAAAAACACGTCCAAGCCAGTTTTTGATTGGTTCATTGATTGATCATGTTATCAGATGGGCCGATTTGATTGGTGGATCGGGTTATCCAATCACTCATTGATTGGCGAAATGGACTGATCCCGATCAGCTGTAATGAGGGCAATGAAGGAGCTGCGAGCATGTGAACTGGAGGCTGTCCTTAATGTCAATCAAATTTATAAAGCCACTTTAGTATTCTTAAACCTTTTAAGGTAAATGGACAAACGTTTTAAGTTCGTTTCTTTAGATTACACCTTGAAGGCTTGCAAAATCCACAACTCATTTCAGTAGCATCAGAATAAATTTAAGTGATTTAAATAGGTTGCTAAGGTCATAAAATGCATTCAAAAACGCCTAGTTTACGGTAGAACACACTGCACCAGGATAATTTTACCACCCATTATTTTATTATTTGCTACCTGGATTCGTTATATGTAGCTTTGTAGGCGGCTCAACCATAACAAAAAAAGGAAGAAGTGACATCAGCAACTCAATCGGAAACAATAGCTTACCTTATTTCACTTTTACGGCATCGTTAATACAAGGTCCTACCGCTGCTATCTGCGTGGAAGTGCCAATTACAAAGGGTTTTGCGGGATAGTCTGTCTATAAACCTTCGTCGGATGAGAAGAAAACTTTCTGCCACGTGGTACTTCACCTCTTGATAGACACTCCCACACACGCACACACATAAATAATAATAGAGAGGGGCTACTAGCGGGGTGTTCCGAAAACCTGGTTCTCATTCGCCTGTAAACAGCCTGGCACCGATTTACTGACCGGTGCCCGTGATAAATGTGAGCGTGTGACTAAAGCAGGTTTCTGGCATGATTGTCATACCACTAGAAAAAATCCACCTCCCCCACTCACTCAAAGCACACTGTCTATTAAGGAGGGTTGATTGGGTTTTTGAAAATGTGCGTGGATGGCTTTAAATTTGCATAAATGTGCTTTTTTTGCTCTGTTAGGGGTACTTAAATCAACGTGGGGCTTTGTTTGTTGACTTATTCATTTGTTTATCGATTGATTTTGGCGCTGAGGTCTGTGATTGGCTGCGTTTATCCCCTTTTCAGCCCACTAAAACAAAACTTGCTCATATTTAAAAATAATATATATAGAGTGGTGGCTTTTCCTTGCTTTACTTCAAAATTTCTCTTGAAAGTATTTAAAATAAGAAACGTTATTATTAAATGTGAAAATTTGATAAAGATTGGCACCACGAGTCTTTCCTGAAACCAAAAGCAGGCAGATTATTTATTGCCAACGTAAAAAGAAGGGCTAAGGGGGCTGCTGGCATGACTAGGAGGCCATGCCACCCAGCAAAAGTACAATGGCCAAGGTTTAAGTGCCTGCGAGGCCAAGACAAAGGTTTTGACACACAATCCAAGTGTTATATGGCCCCCTCTCCTGTGGAACTTCTTCTTGGCGGTCCTCCTGCTCAATCTTGGCAGCCGTCACCCCAACAGCAGTGACTCCTCTTGGTAAGCTTACTGATTATAGAGGCTAATCCTGTTTGAAACTGCATTTGGGGAAAGATGAATGTCCTGCCCATCTCGTATATACATCGGTAGCCTTAAACTCGAGTCGTTTAATAAAGAATTGGGGTTAAATGGATACGTGAAATTAGGCTGCTCGTCTATTTCTTCTAGCCACTTTGTTCTTCATTACTGTCAATCCATATCTTTCCAAGCTCTATGCAACTAGTAGAGAGGTGAAGGAGGTATCGTGCATTTACTTCGTTGACATCCTCCTACAGGGCCCATAGGCAGCTCCGTAACGAACACTTTAGGTGGTTCGTGGTTGGTGTAGCTTTAGTCATCAATAGCATTCCCGCAGACCTCGGAACTAAGGTAGTTGCCGAAGGCAGACGTTATTTTTCGCCTTCTGTTAGGGGTCGTCACACATTCTCTGTTCGCAATGTATAACCTTCTCCCATTAAGTTAGGCTTTAGCATTCGGTGATGGAAATAAGGACAGATGTCCTTCACTATCCAGTTTGCCTTCCACTGCCACCAGTGCGGTGACCTAGGCCTTTTTTCTGGTCGAACGAGGTTCACAATTCTAGGACAGCAAATGCACCGACAACGTACAAAAAGTTTGAGGGGGTTTGGGTATGACTCGAAGGTCGTATTGCCCAGCAGAAATCCAATGGAGGAGCCTTAAGTGACCAAGACATCAAAACAAAGAGTTACGCAAACGGAGTATTGCACCAAAATGTATGAAGTTAATCCAGGGGGAATATTTGATTTCGAGACCATGTTGTACTAGTGGAAAGAAACTAATCTCTCTAAAGTGCTCCTTCAAAACTTGAATTGCCTAGGAATCTAATCCGATTAACCTCAATAGGTGTTCTTGTGCCGCATCATTACAAAATCTGTGTAGAAGGTGACCTAAATTTCATGATTTTAATGTCAAATAGTTTTAGGTAACTTAAAATAGGATTAGAATGTAATCGCCTCACAAATAGTTGAACGCTGTAATTAGTAAACAATATTTCGCGATTTATGCAGAGCAGAATAATGTCAAATTGCTTTATCCAACACCGCTTCTAGGTGTGCGCTATTTCTATGGAAATTGTGATGAGGAAAAATAGTACTTTAGTTGAAAAGATCTTTGTGTTCATTTATTCAGCTGAAATTCAACCTGTTTTTTAGTCATACAAATGTCAGATGATAGACATTCTGTTGAGTTTTACAACTACAGATGATGTCAAGATTTATGCTATCGTTACACCAACTGATCAGTAATGGCTAAAAGGTGATTCTTAAGAAATGACAAATCGAATACCCAGTTTGAAACTTCGTCAGAATTTAACAAACCTTAAATGGGGCAATAAAGCGAAACATGCGACATTTTGAATTTAAAAGGACGGAGATTGTCAAAATTGAGTTTATAGTTGAATTTCAATGTGGGTCGCCCTTGGTTCGCATACTCTCAGTTTCTGCATTGCTTTCATTGTCACCCATACGAATTAACCCATCGCGCCTGCCAGTGTGTGATTGGACAACCCACCCCACCAATCAAAGCTGTCTCTCCGATGACGCACCAATCAGAAACCGACTTGAACGGAGTCTTTCCAATACCCATTTATTACCTATCGTTTATTATCCAGAGTTGAGGTGCTTCATTAAATTTGGAAGACTTGAAATTTCCAACCTGCTTTTGTCAATTCAAGGAACAAACACTCTAAATTAAATGACAAAAATGGGAAAACAGCCTGAGACAAATATTCCACCTTCTATATTGCGGGTGCTATGTTGGTGTGTGAAAAAAAGTACGGGGAAACGGGCAAGGACACGGACATTAACATGGGCACAGAAAAGTACTTCCTGCTCGTGACGATAAATCCCGGATACAAGATTATCTTGGGGTAAATATGGGTAGATGAAGGAAGTGAAGCAAAGTGCTTTGTTAGATATTTGCCTTAGTAGGGAAGTTTAACGACTTGAAACCACACGCAACCCCATGAAAGCACGAGCATCTACATGCAAACACATGCAGCTGCGTGAAACCACATGTAATTACAATCGGTATTCCGCATTGTCTTCGTACACATGAAGCATCTTTCTACCAAGTTGAATGTGATTAAGTCGCGCAGAGGTGTTGAGTGATTATTGAATTGGTATTGGGGCAGACGAAGTGATTATTGTCCACAGTGTGTTGATTAATGTGATGCGGAATTGATGACATGGTTAGAAGAGGGTTGAGCACATATGATATGGCTAAAAATGTGTGGTAGTCCTAGGCAATGCACAGGTCATGGCCACAACCAATACAATATTAATTCAAATGACTGGCTGATTTGTTTGAATTGGCACCGAATAAAGTACGATTTGCGAGCTGCTGCAGTAAGAGCACCATTCTTTGGTACGTTGCGGGGTTTGTGTATTGACAAGAACAATCAGCGAACGCTTCGCCTGTCATCTTAAGCAGCACTGATTACTTTGAATCTGCTTTAACTTCACAATGAACAGTCCATTTGTGAAGATGCCTCAATTTCGATGAGATCCCCAATGTGTTTGGAGCGAGTAGGTGGATGAGTGGGGAAGGAGGTGAATAGATGAGGAGGTGAATGGATGGAAGGATAGATCAAACCTAAAAACTGTTTTTCCACCATCATTTCAAACCCACTATGAGAATGTGCAGAC